GACATTATCTCAACTGACAGACTCAGTTAGGGATTTAGTAAAAATTTTAATTCAGTATGGGAAGGTTTCTGGTTTTAAGGTAAATAATAATAAGACTAAAATATTATCGAAAAATATGTCTATGAAGGAAAAGGTTTTGAAATAGTGAGAAAGGTTAAATATTTAGGAGTATATATCACAGCTTCTAACGTTAAATTGTATAAAAATAATTATGAGACACTATGGGCAAAAGTGCAAAAGGACTTAAATGATTGGAAAAAATTACAATTCTCTTTGTTGGGGAGAATTTCAGCAGTTAAAATGAATATACTTCCAAAGTTTCTTTTCTTGTTTCAAATGATACCTATTTTGAAGAAAGATGTTAATTTGGAGGAATGGCAGAAAGGGATTAATAAGTTCATTTGGGCAGGGAAAAAGCCAAGAGTTAAATTCAAGATTATACAAGATATACGGGAAAGAGGAGGATTTAAAGCGCCTAATTTAAAATTGTATTATGATGCGGCGGCTTTAACCTTGATTAGTGATTGGCTCAACTTAACAAATAAAAATATTCTTTCTCTTGAGGGATGGGATTTATTATATGGATGGCACGCTTATTTAATTTATGATAAAAAAGTTGATCAGGTGTTTAAAACCCATATTTTGAGAAGTGCCTTGTTGCGTGTCTGGAAGAAATATTATTATAGGTTAAATTATAAAATTCCAATTTGGGGGATTCCTGGACATGTGATAGAGGGAGTATCCAGGGGAGTGAATTTGGATAAGGAATTACTTAGTTTGGTTGGGCAAGATTGGCAATTAAAGTCATTGATTGAGTTGAAGCAAGAAAATATTGTATACTCTTGGTTTCATTACAATCAATTGTTAGTGAGGTGGAGTTTAGATCGAAAGGTTGGTATCACCTTAGAGGATGTGAATTTGGTAAAACAGATTAAAGATCAAGGTCGAACTCATATAAAAAGAATTTATAATGTTTTAATAGAATTAGATTCTGAACAGAATTAAAGACTGTATGATCAAATGGGCGCAAAATATTCAAGAGCCGATTTTATTGGATACATGGGAGACAATTTGGGTTAAAAATGTAAAATTTACTCAGGCGCAAAATTTAAAAATTTAGAAATTTTTTTATAAAATGTTTTATAGATGGCATTTAGATCCCCAAAAGTTCTCGCATGTATCCGAATTTACAGCCCAAATGTTGGAGATGTGGAAATTTAGATGCAACTTATTTTCATATTTGGTGGACTTGTAGAGATATTAAAGCTTTTTGGATTAAGATTTGGTGGAATATTCAAAAGATTTTTAAGAAAAAGATAACGTTTACTCCGCAATTATTTTTGTTAGGTATTATTGTAGATTTGGATGTTAAAGAAACTAATTTGATGTTGAATCTTATAACTGCTGCAAGATTATTGGTGGGGCAATAGTGGAAGAAAAACGTATTGCCTACTATGGAAGAATGGATACTTAAAGTGTCTAATTTAGCAGAAATGGCGAAAATCTCCGCCTATTTGAAGATCTATAACAATTCAAGTAAGTGTTCCCCCCACTCTCAGGTAGTTCCACTACAAAGTCCATTGATATCTCTTTCCATGGACACACCCTGCAAAAGTCCCATTGGTTTCCCTGGTGGTCCCTTTGCTGCTGCATAAACTGGATGGCTGGCCACATAGCTTTAACTGTATTTTTTCAAAGAAGACCGCCAAAACTGTCATTTGATCAAATCCAGGGTTTTTACAAAACCAAAGTGTTCTGCAGGCTTAGAGTTATATGCCCTGTAAAATAGTGCTCCTCAAGCTCAAGGGTACATACAATTTAGCTCCAACCCAGACCAGTCCATCATGCACAATGAAGTCTTTCTTACGAGCAGTAAGCCACTCATCGAGTTTTAGCGCTCCTTTCAGCTTCTTACACAATTTATTTGAAATTTATTTATTTATTTATTTATGAGACTTATATACCGCTTTAAGTGCAAGCACTCTCTAAGCGGTGTACACCAGTAAGCAATGTATATATATATATTACATTGCTCCCAACAATCTGGGTCCTCATTTTACCTACCTCGGAAGGATGGAAGGCTGAGTCAACCTTGAGCCGGTGAGATTTGAACTGTTGACCTGCTGAACACAGTCAGCTAAAGTGGCCTGCAGTACTGCACTCTAACTGCTGCGCCACCTCGGCTCAGACTCCTTTCTCTCTGAGATCTAGTGGTCACTGGAGTGGCTAGCTGCTTAAAGGGAATGACTAGTTGAATCATTTTGGCTTCAGCACTATTGTATTGAGGCAATCTGGATAAAGCGTCTGCCATAAAATTCTTTGCAACTGGAATATAGCACAGGGTGAAATTGAACTGGTTAAAGCATTGAGCCTTGCGGACATGCTTAGGGGATAATTTATGGGGTGTTCTTCAGAGCCTCTATATTTTTATGATATTTATGATCAGTCCACATCTCAAACTGTGTTTTTGCTGTCTCTAGAAAATGCTGCCAAGTAAGCAAAGCTCACCATACCGCATATGCCTCCTTCTCCCATACTGCCCACCTCTCCTTAGTTTCAGTAAGTTTTTTTAGAGGTGTACCTGCAGAGTTGCAGCAGGTTCTGGGCATTCTCTTGTACTACTACAACCCCCATGGCTACATCGTTAGCATCTGCTAGTTTGGGTCAGGGTGCTTTAGCATGGGCTCTGCCACAAACAGCCACTTGAATTTTCCAAATGCTACTTCGCATTCCAAAATCTACTTAAGTGGATTACTTGGCTTCAGTTTGCCCTCACCCTTGCTTTTTAAGAGGTTGATAATTGGCAATGTGATCTGGACGAATGAGGGAATGAATTGTTGGTAGAAATCAGCAAAGCCTAAGAAACTCTGTAAATGCTTCTTGGTGCGGGGAGGGGCCCATTCTAACACTGCCCACACTTTTTCTGGGCACATCTCTACTCCTACATGGGATATACGGTAACCCAGGTAATCAATCTTATTTTGGTGAAATTCACATTTGGAAAACTTTGCATACAATTCGGCCACTTGGAGTCTCTTTAGGACCACCTGCACCAATTTCACATGTTCCTCCATAGTCTCAGTATATATTAACATATCATCCAAATACAGCAACACACGTAAGTAGTCATGCAACACCTCATTGATCAGTTGCATGAAAACAGCTGGACCCCCCTGCAACCCAAAGGGGAGTACTCAGAACTGAAAGCATCCCAGAGGGCAGTCAAACACAGTTTTCCATTCATTGCCCTCCTTGATTCGAACCTGATAATAAGCCTCCCACAAATCTAATTTAGTGAAGATTTTGCCTTTGTCTAAATGCACAAGCATGTCCCTCATCAGGGGCAGCAGATAAACATTTTATACACACACAGCATTAAGCCCTCTATAATCAACACATAAACAAAGATTTCAATCTTTTTTCTCCTGGAACAACATCGGGCCTGCCATTCATGGTCTAGCTGAATAAATCCATGTTTTAAATTTTTATCTATGAACACACAAAGCTCTTCTAGCTCTTGCAGAGTCATCAGATAGAATTTAGGTTTTGGGAGTTTAGCCTCAGGAAGAATTTCAATACCACAGTCAGTGGGGCAATGAACCAGGAGCACATCAGAGCCCTTCTCACTAAACACATCCTGCAAATCGCAGTATCCCTTGGGGATTCTTGGGTACTTGCCTTTTGGGTACTCCTGCAAGGCTGCACCTAACTCCCTCTTTTCTTTGCTTTTCTTGTCCTTGGGCATTGGAATTCCCCCCCCCTTTGTTGGCCTCCTTTTGCTGGATTTTTAAGAGACCTCCCCTTTAATTTATATAAAAGTTCCATTTCTGGAGCCAGGACAGTCTCCATCCCCAGCACCACTATAAAACTCAGAGTCTCCTTTTCTTTCCCATTCTCATTTCCACTGACTCCATTATAAAATGAGCTCCCCCCACAGCTACTGTCCCATCCAGTTGGCAAAAGGCTATTGGCAAGTTGGCCTCTCTGAGTCAAATTTTCCCCATCAGTACTCAGCAGTTCCATTCTCCCACCACCTGCACACTTCCCTTCCAAAATGCCCATTGCTCCCTCCTCCCCGTTTCCATGGCAACTGGCAGCAAGCTTGAAGGAAAGCGATGATGCCCAGGCTGACAATAGATATCTTGCCAGTTTATAAAGCAGGAGTTACTGCTCAAGAACATAATCTTGGGTAGAGCGGATAGAGCCTGATAAACTTAATGATCTTTAATATGTTGTTTAAACGTAATGAATCCATGTTCGTATCCCATCAGTAGGAACATCTCCTTGAACTACAATAGATAATTCATTTCTGCATTCATTGCATTAGAAGAAACATTGTAACAAGGACACATTATTTTTCTATAGTCAGCACTGTTGAAACCATACCTAAAGTACTTGCTTTAATGAGCTGTTTGATAGTGCCTACAACATGGGTCTCCTATCTTTAGATCTGATGATCAGATCTGACATTTTGAGATCATGTCACAAATGGCCTCAATATAGTTGACATGATTGTGGACATTCAGAAAGAACACTGCTTTCCAGACTCAAATGTTATAGCATGATGACTTTCCATTTAATGTTTCTAAATTAAGAAATGCTAATTGTTCTTTTAAAAAATGAAATAGATTATTATTTCTAATAGCAGGAAGGGTGGCCTATGTGAGCACCACATTGAGTACTCCTAATGTTAGAAGTTCTTCCTCTGAAAACTCTCAAAACTGGTATAGAATAGTTTTGGGAAATAGACAAAGAAAGAACTAAATTAATATAGAACTGGAAACAAAGATCTTCCAAAAATCTTCAAACAACTTAAATCTATGTGTTTACATTTACAGGTTAAAATACTCAACACCCGGAGAGTGTGATTCTGGAGTGAGGGTTCTTATAGAGTGCTTATATAGTGTGGAATGGAAATTGGGACTGCATTCATTTGAGTCATTGTTTTAGACCCTTTCACAATCCTTCTGGACTTATGATTTTTCTGGGTCTTTCTTTAGCTTGCTGCACAGGTCCTAGAGGAGAAAGGCATTGCTTTTGGATTATTGGATTCTAAGAAAGATGCAAAGCTTGCAAAAAAACTAGGTAAGTGTGATCCATTTTTCATTCTTCAAGGTAATGAGAAATTCCAGCACCATGTTTTTATGACCCAAACCAAGCCAGTATTTGCAGGATAGCTAGCATTGCACTTACTGTATTTTATGCATTTCTATTAACTTCCAGGCTTAAATGAAGCCAGTGTGATTGTGGCACAAACTTTTTCTTTATGTCACTGGCTGAATTCAATAAATAGAATCGAATAGAACTGGAACGGACCTTGGAGGTCTTCTAGTCCAGCCCCCTGCTCAAGCAGGAGGTCCTATACCAGGGCTTTTCAACTGGTGGTACGCATACCACTTGTGGTACTTTGCCACATAGCAGGTGGTACGCGATTGCTAGCCAAGTGTAGCAGGGGAGGGAAATGAGCCAAAGCGAGCCAAGCCCGAGGGAGAGGCAGCTGCAGGACTGTCTGGGCTTGGCAGAAGCCCCAGGAGCCAGCAGAGCTCCAGCTGATTGGAGCTGGAGATGAACTGAAGAAAAAGGGGGGAAGAGAGGAGAGCCTATAAAAGGAGGTGGTTTAGGTAGGGGAGGGGGAAAAAGACAAGAGAAAAGGTTTAATCCCTTTAAACAAATGTAATTAGTTTTACCCCCTTTAATTGAGTCTGTCTGTGGCTTTTAGAAAGTTTTCTTTGAAGGTAAACAGGCTTAATTTAAAGCTAAAGCTTTTCACAATTGCCGGAGCCTTTCAGTCTAGAATTGCAACATTGTGACATGTGACATGCCTGAGGCAGCTTAAAGAGGAAAAAAATGAGTTTGTGTTTCTTTATTTTCTTGCTTTGCACTTGAGTCCTGTGTTTTTAAGGATACAGGGAAGGGATTGGGGGGGGGTACATTCTTACTACACTGTGGAAGAGCTCAGAAGGGCAAACCAACTAGCTCAGGAGTCTACACTTAGCAACTTTAAGACCTGTGGACTTCAACTCCCAGAATTCCTCAACCAGCCATGAGGGCTGAGGAATTCTGGGAGTTGAAGTCCACAAGTCTTACAAGTGCCAAGTTTGAAGACCCCTGAACTAGCTAGTAGAATAAACATGGATAAATTCCTCATACATTTGTCAGTGCAAAGGGAAAGTGATTCAGCAAAGGAACAGCCACCGAAGAAATTAAAACTGGTACTTTTTTACTTTTTTTCTACAGTTTCTAATATTTTATTAGATTATAGAATAAAATACAAAAATACAAAAGGAAATAGTAGGACAGAGTAGGGAGGAAAAAGGGAGGAAAAAGTGAGGGGGGGGAAAGAACATACTTCCGCTGTTGTGGTAGATGGAAGCATTAACATTGAACTTCAACTTTTTACTTTTCCATAATATTATAAACTAGCCATTTCTATAATAACAAATGAATCTAATCAGTAAAACTCAAAATCTCCCCTTTTTTTTAGTCATCAAGTTTTGACACTTTACTAAGTACTGGTGGTACTCAAATATTGTCATGACCTAAAAGTGGTACAATCTGTGAAAAGGTTGAAAAGCCCTGTCCTATACCATCTCAGTCAGATGATTGTCCAGTCTCTTTTTAAAAACTTCCAGCGATGGCGGGCCCACAATTTCTGGGGGTAAACTTTTCCATTGGTTAATTGTCCTCACTGTCAGGAAGTTTCTCCTTAATTCCAGGTTGCTTCTCTCCATGATCAGCTTCCAACCATTGTTTCTTGTCCTTCCCTTTGGTGCTCTGGTGTACAACCTGTCCCCCTCTGCCTTGTGGCAGCCCCTCAGATACTGGAACACTGCTATCATGTCTCCCCTATTTCTTCTTTTCTTTAGACTAGCCAAACCCAAGTTCCGATGCCATTCTTCGTACATTTTGGTCTCCAGATCTTTGGTCTTCGTACATTTTGATCATCTTAGTTGCTCTTCTCTGAATTTTTTTCAATCTCTGAACATCTTTTTTGTAATATGGTGATATTGGCTGCAGTATTCAAGGTGTGGCCTTACTAGGGCTTTATAAAGTGATACTAATACTTTGCATGATCTTGATTCTATGCCTCTGTTTATACAACCCAAGATTGTATTAGCTTTTTTGGTTGCTGCTGCACACTGTTGGCTCATAGTTAAATGATTGTCCACCAGGATTCCAAGGTCCCTCTTACAGTTACTGCCTCCAAGCCAGGTCTCGCCCAATTTGTTCCTTTGGTTTTTCCTGCCTAAGTGTAGGACTTTGCTTTTCTCCACATTGAAACCCATTTTGTTGGATAGGGCTCATTGTTTGTTTGTTTTTTTTTAATTGAAAATTTTTCAAATTTTACAAGACAAATCCCCTCCCCAAACCCCCCCAGCCTCCCGTACCCTCCCCCAACTCCCCAAACCTCCCTAACCCTCCCCTGGACCTCCCAGAGTTGATTACGGGCTTATCCAAAATATTTCAAAAAAGAAAAAGAAAAAAAGAAAAAACTTAAAACACATGTAAAACTTAAAACACATATAAATCCTAAACAAATCATAATATTCTAAATTAAATAGATTATCTCTAAAAAATAATAATCATTAAACACATTATAATATACTCTGAACATCTTCTAATCATGCTTATAATATTATCCACCATTCTATATAAATTCCTCCCAAAACACAATTTTAAGCACTACTTTCTTTGAACATCTATAACTATAATATAAAATCTAATATAAATCATAAACAAATCTAAATACATTTAGTTAAACGAGTTATACTCCCTCCAAAACACAAATTTAAACATAAACACAAATTTAAACATTACTTAAAACTTTAAACATTAGAATCCCCTTATACACATTTAATCAAATTCCATCTTAAAAATAGTAATAATAATAATTAGAAAAAAAATAAAATAAACCCAGACACTAAACACATTATAGTATACTCCAAACCTTCTAATATCATGCTAATATTATTATCATTTTTATAAACTCCCCCAAAACACAAATTTAAACATTACTTAAAACTTAAAAAATCCCTTATACACATTTAAATCTTTATCAATAAGAAATTCCATCCACAATAAACACATTAAACATTTAAATCTTCACCAATAACAAATTCCATCCACAAAAAAAACACAATCCTTATCAGTCTCAATTGTCCATTTTCATTCTCCATCCATTATCATACTGATATTATTATTATCAATCTCGATTGTCCATTTTCATTCTCCATCCTTATCATTCTCTAATTTTGAATATTCGTCTTTAACCTTATCAAACTCAAGAGAAGTGCTTTGAGATCTGGCTTTAAAGATTGCTCCAAAATTTCTGGATCTCCCAACAACTCAGAAGCCAATACATGTGGGGATTCCTTAAACTCCTTATTCTGTTGGTCTTTTTCTTTACAATTATATGTTGCACGAATTGTCCTCTGCCCCTTCCTCTCAACTTGTTGAAACTCCTCAAGCTGAGATTTCCCATTTTTCATTTCAGACAACAATTCCATCCTTGAAGATTGCTCCAAAGGCTTTATAAGTCTTGCTTCTCCCACAGATTCAAAAACCACTAGATGTGAAACTTCCTTAATCTTCTTCTGTTGTTGCTTTCCTTTACAGTTATGTGCTACACAAGTTATCTTCTGCTCCTCAATCTGAACGTGTTGAGATCTCTCAGGCAAAGGTTCCCCAATTTTAGGGTCTTCAAACTGTAATTCTACATTCTTTTCTTCCAAGGTTTTAAACTTAATAGATGACAATGAACATACCCCCAAGACCGAAGTATAAAAATCTTTTGCTTGAGAAGCAGTATTAAGTCTATAAGATATCCCCAGGTAGTTCACCACCATTCCAATCGGAACATCCCATCTGAACGAAATTCGTCTCTTTTTAAGTTCATTTGCTAAAAAAGCAAACTCCTTTCTTCTTCTTAAAATTTTAGATGGGATCTCCTTTAAAATTATAACATCTTGTGAAGCAATTTGAAATCTCTTCTTATAAAAAGCTTGTATAATTTCATTGCGCAGGGATCTTTTCCCAAAGTAAATTACCACATCTCTTGGCAAATTCTTTTGCACTGCCACCACAGAATTAACTCTAAATAATTTTTCAATTTCACTAAGTATTTCCTCTTTTTCTTTATTCAAAATCACAGCAAAGTCCTTTGCAACCATCTCTTTCAGATCTCCTTGCAAGGACTCTCCCAAGCCTCTAATTCTTAAGGCATATTCCATTTGTCCATATTGAAGCATAAGAATCTCATTTTCCATTTCCTTTTCCATACTTTCAATTTTTCCCTCCATTAATTCCACTTTTTTAACTACTTCTTCCACACGGGAATTCAACTTTTCAATAACAGAAGCAACTCCTTTTAAAGCCAAAACTATATCTTGCCTCAAAATCTTGTTATTTTCCTCTAAAATCTTTTTCATTTCTGCCCTAATTTGAATTGTAACATTTCCCATCATGTCTTGCAAATCCTTCACAATTGCTGGTTGGACCACAGAAGAGGGTGAAACTATTGATTTAGGAACTGTAAAAGTCCCTGGACGCTTTGGAGCCATCTTAAAAAAAAAAAAAAACTTTACTCCTTCTTGAGAATTACAAAAATTCCTTCAAAAAAATCATAACTCCCTCAAAAGAAAATTTTTATAATGATAAAAAAAGGGAGTTAGAAAAGAAGAAAAAAGAAAAAAGGAATTAAAATATCCGTTCCAATCATTAAAAAAAAAAGGGGGGGGGGAAGAAAAAATTTTGTATTTTAAAAATACAAAAGACAAAGCAAAAAAGTCAAACAAAAACAATAATGTTTAAAAAGTTAAACAACAAAAATAATAATGCTTCTAAGATCCATCCAATCATTAAAAAGAAAAGAAAAGAGAAAGTAAAAGAAGCCGATCGCCATTCTAGCTTCCCAGAAAAAAAAACGCTAGAAAGTCTGCCGATCGCCATTTTACTTTCCCTTTCAGCACAAAGTAAAAAGTAAAAGGAGAGAATATAAATATGAAAATAAACCTTTAAACTTAAAATACATATAAAATCAAAGAAAGCAAAAAGTAAATCCTCTAATCAACTCTGTCCGCTTCTAAAAAAAACTCACCAGGTCCCTTTAAGCGCGGAGGTGATTGCAACGGCTTGTTTTGTCCCTAGGGACAAAAGCAGCTGGGAAGCGGAGACAGTCTGAACTCCGTGGGAGCACTCTGTCACCCCCCCAAAAAAGAAATTGGGGGTACATAAGAGGCTCTACCACTATTCAGACAACCCTCTTCCCCCCCCTTTGCCCAGGAGGGGGATTTTGAACCGCTGAACAGCTGATGTACGCTGTTCATAGCGATTCATTACACTTACCCAGGAGGACGGCTAAAAAGTAGCCGCCATCGCCGCGCAGATCGATGGATAGGGCTCATTGTTCAAGTGTGTCAAGATCTTTTTGGATCCTGAGTTTGTCTTTTGGGGTTTTTGGCTACTCCTGACAGTTTGATGTCATCTGCGAATTTGATGAGTTTCCCTTCAATTCCCTCATCTAAGTCATTTACGAAGATATTGAAGAGTACTAGCCCTAAGATGGATTCTTGTGGTAGCCCACTGCTTACTTCTCTCCATGTGGATGTAGTGCCATTGAGGACTACTCATTGAGGACGGTTTGTCAGCCAGTTACAGATCCATCTGGTGGTGATGTTGTTTATTCCACCTTTTTCTAGCTTACCAAGGAGTAAATTGTGGTCTACTTTGTCAAATGCCTTACTGAAATCTAGGTACACTACGTCCACTATATTTCGTTGATCTGCTAGTTTAGTTACTTTATCAAAGAATGAGATCAGATTGGTTTGGCATGATCTGTTTTTAACAAACCCATGCTGGCTGCTAGTTATGACTTGGTTTGCTTCTAGTTGTTTGCGGATCTGTTTTTTGATTATCTTTTCTAGGATCTTCCCAGGTATTGATGTTAAACTGATTGGTCTGTAGCTTCCTGGGTGCTTCCCCCCCCCTTTCTTGAAGATGGGGATCACATCAGCCCTTTTCCAATTCTTGGGTATTTCTCTGGTGCTCCAGGATTTGTGAAAGATGTGGTGCAATGGTTCTGAGATTACATCTGCGAGTTCTTTCAGAACTCTAGGATATAATCTGTCAGGTCCTGGTGATTTGTATTCATCAGGATTGGATGGGTGTTTTCTTACTATTTTCTTGCTTATTTTGATTTTTGTTTCTACTATGATCTTTGCAGTGTTTTTTTTGGGGGGGGGGTTGTTTGGCTATGGTTTCTTTTTGTGTGAAGACTGATGCAAAGTATGAGTTAAGCATCTCTGCTTTCTCCCTGTTGTCTGTTATTTCCTTACCATCTTCTCTCTTTACTGGGCCTACAGTTTCTTTGACTTTTTCTTGTTGTTAATATGTTGGAAGAAACTTTTTTTATTGTCCTTGATTTCCATTGTGAGTCTTTGTTCATACTAAGCCTTTGCTTTCCTGACTTCTTCTTTGCATGCTCTGGCTGTCTGCTGATAGTTGGCCGTGATTATGCACCCCTCTTTACATTTTTTGTGTTTGTCCTTTTTGTTTTTTAGTTTAGTGAGATCTTTGTGCAGCCTTGCTGGTTTCTTCCTGGATTTCTTGTTTTTCTTTCTCAGTGGTATTGCGCTGATATGGGCTTTTGTGATTGTGTTTTTCAGGGTTTCCCACGCTTCTTGGGTTATTTTCCTCTTTAGGATTTTCATCCATGGGATCTTTCCTAGGTTCTCTCTGAGTTTGTTAAAGTCAGCTCTTTTGAAGTTTAGGACATTGGTTAGATTGTTTTCAATTGCTAGTGTTTGTCTTTTATTAAATTCCAGTATGGCATGGTCACTTTCACCCAAGGTTCCGGCAATTTAGATTCCCTCTATCACTTCTTCTCTATTTGTAAGGATTAAATCCAATATAGCTTTGCATCTAGTTCCCTCCTCCACCTTTTGGGTGGCAAAGTTGTCAGCTAGGTTGGTTAGGAATCTCTTTGATCTCCCACTCACTGCAGAGTTTGTCTCCTAGTTGATACCTGGATAGTTGAAGTCTCCCATTATTACTGTGGTGTGCTTCTTGCATACATTTGTTAACTGATTGGCAAAGAGTTCATTTGTTTCTTCTGGTTGAGTGGGTGGCCTGTAATATACATCTATGGTGATGTCATTTTTTTCTTTTATATTGGCACATAGACATTCTGGAGAGATTTTGTCTTGGGTCATGTGCATTTCCGCAGATATGTAGTGTTCTCTTACATATAGTGCAACTCCCCCTCCTTTTTTTGTAGACCTGTTTCTTTTGAACAATTTGTATCCATCCACCTGTCCATTCCATTCATGGGTTTCATTCCACCAGGTTTCTGTTATGCCAACTATGTCATACCCTCCCTCTTGTACTATTGCTTCAAGTTCACCGTTTGTTCCCCAAGTTTGAGCATTTGTGTATAAGCATTTTAGGCTTTTATGCCTGTCTATGGGTATGTTTCCTGTATCTCCTGATTGTTATTTGGATTTTTCTTTTTTCTCATCACTGTCTATCTCATTGTTTGTTTTCTTTTCTTGGGATTTGTGATTAGTTTTGGGTTCTAGAGATTCTAGAGATTGGTCACCCTCCCCCCTCAGTTTTAGTTTAAAGCCCTTCTGATGAGTTGGGCCAGTTTTTTTCCAAGTACATTTTCCCCTGTTTTTGTAACATGCGGCCCATCCCTTGCCAAGAGTCCCTCATGTAGAAAATACAGTCCATGATCCAGGAAACCAAAGTTTTCTTGGCGACACCAACCCTTTAGCCAGTGATTTATTTCTGAGATTCTTTTTTCTTTCAATGGGTGTTGGCCTTTTGTTAGGAGCACTGACCCCAACACTACTTGTGCTCCTAGCTTCTTAACTTTGTTGCCTAGTTGTTTGTAGTGTTTCACTATTGCACTCAGGTTGTTTGTTGTGTCATTTGTTCCAATGTGGAGGAGGAGGAGGGGGTAGTAGTCTGTGGGCCTAATTATTTTGGTTAGGTTCTCGGCCACATCTTTGATTTTTGCTCCAGGGAGACAGCATACCTCCCTGGATTGTATGCCTGATCTGCAGATGGATGGTTCGGTTTCTTTGACGATGGAGTCTCCTATTACCAACACTATCCTTTCTTTGGGGGGGGGGCTGCAGTATGCAATTAGTTCTACTTTTTCACTGTAAAAATCTAGATGACCACTAGATGTCAGCAAAGAGATGTTTGCTTATCTAACTCTTTGCTTCTTTCTAGTGGCCATTTGGATTTGCACTCCAGATCTTACAATACTATGTATTCTATGAGTAAGTTTCTTCAGAACCCATAATGAGCTAAAATATTTAATTGTATCTTATGTAGGAAAAGTGACTTGTGTTATTCTTCACTCACACTGAAACAATGATCATGCATTTACTTGTATTTTTGTCTTCTTTCCAGGTTTGGATGAAGAAGGAAGCTTATATATCTTTAAGGAGGATCATGTAATAGAGTTTGATGGGCAAATGTCAGCAGATGTCTTGGTTGAATTCCTGTTGGATGTAAGTTCATCCTGTTTTCTAGTAGGAATAATATATTATTATTAATGCTAGTTACAGGGATGTTCTTTTGCCAAGAAACACAAATAATATAGTGGAATGCAAATCATATATTTTAAGTTAAAGAAACAACATTATTTCCATTCAAAACTGATGATATTGGCTTCCAGTTTGATGTCGTGGCATAATATTTGATTTTGCCCTGCTGGAGACCCTAAAAAGGGTTGAACGTTGCCCCAAAGAGGCAATGAAGAAGGAGGGGACCTTCGTCAATCGCAGAGGGGTGGCGGCCCTTCTGCTAGATCCGAGGAAACCCTCCAAACCAGCAGGGAAAAGACTGGCTACATTCATGTGGCCAGTCAGAAGCTGCTGACAACCGAAGACAAGCACTAACTAGAAATTTCTGAGCAACATGGATGGAATTGGGTGAGACTTTATCCTCTTTTTTATGGCCCTAACACTACTTTCCTGGAAAAAAGAATGCCAAAGCAAAGAATCCTCCACAATGAGAGAGGGAAGGGAAGTTATTGCCCTGCTCCCTCAGGAAAAGAAAATCAGCGAATTAATTGCTTTGGGGGAAAACAGAGGAAACTACAAGATGAATTTGGAACTAATACAGATCTATAGCTTTGAAATTTGGGGGCTAAAAGTACCTTTGAGACTTTTTTTTAGAAAAAATATTTGAAAGTTTGCAAAATAAGCTTGGATTTGCAAAGCTGGAAGATGGTGTCAATGACATCTAGTGAAGAATTATGGCACTACAATTTATTATGCTTAAGGGAAACTTGGCTTGAAGCCCATACTCAGATAAGACTCTTTGTTGTTCCTGGACACTTTCACTTTTTCAAACTGCAGCTGGGAAAAGGGAAAAACAAAAACTCTTGGGCTGCTCATCTGGGTTGGGGACCCAATTGGATTATAAAAACTACATACAAAAAGAAAATGAATGTTCCATATTCAGCTTTAAATGGTAAAAAAATCATTTCCCTATCTCCGAAGCTCCCAGCTTGATATATCAACAAGAAAATGTTAATGAATCTTAGGAAGAATTTTTTTCCATGTTAAAATCAATCCAAGAGATAATTGTTTTATTTCATGATGAGAGTAAAAATAATGTAAATGATATAAAAGAACAATTTCCTAACCTAAACTTACAAATCTGGACAATGACTGCAAAGAAAAACTAATAACCCCCCCCCCCCAAAAAGAAGGAAAATTAGAAGAAACAGATCCAAAGATGGAAAACCTAAAGGAAGGAATTAACAGACAGATACAGACAAATGAAAAATTAGAAGATGCAGTGATAACACTGGAAATGGAAAACACATCGTACTTGTCAAGATCTCATAACACATTTGAGGATAAGGAAGAAGAGCTGATTGAATGGATGATAAAGTTGTTAGGAGAAATGCTGAATATTGATCAACAAGAAATGAAAAGAAAAACTGAAGAAGGATGGAGGCTGTTTAATGAATATAAAAGGGTTGAGCGTTCTTCCAAAAACACCTCAACCAAATTCTTTTCCTCATTCCAAACAATACAGAGGTTTTGACCTATTAGATGGGATATTATACTACTAAACAGATGTTTGAATATAACTAAGAAAATAGAAAACTGTTAGAAATAAAAATATAATTAGAAGGATAGGATTTGTAATTAGAATGTTATAGATTTTAAGTGAAAATGCAATTGAGCTATATTTTGGCTAGAAAAGATATTATAAATTGATACTATCGGGGAGCTTCCGGTGTGAGGCGACGGCGATGGCGGCTAGCTTTTAGCCGTCCAGCTGGGGAAGTGTCAGAGCCGCGGAGCGCAGCGTGCATCAGCTGGCCCGCGGCTCGAAAATCCCTTCCCGGGCAAAGGGAAGGGACAGAGAGTGCAGGGATAGAGGTAGAACCCCTGAACCCCCTCTGGATTTGTTTCTAGAGGGGGTGAAAGGAGTGTTCCCTCGGAGCTCCTGCTGATCTCCGCCTCCCAGCTGTTTTTGCTTCCTAGGAAGCAAAAGAAACCGCCGCTTCTATCTCCGTGTTTATAGCATTCTGGTGAGTAATTTTTAAACGGACGGAGCAGTTTAAAGGATTTTTTGTTATAATTTAGGTGTTTATTTTTTTATTTTTTGATTTCTACTATTATTCCTCCTTTTTTTGTTATATTAGTGAAAGGATTTAAGATGGCGCTTTGAAAGTGTCGGAGTTTTTTTTTCCTTTCTCTTTTGTTTTACTTTCCCTTTTTAAGGACTGGTTTTTGCTTTTACTTTTGCTTTTGGCTTAGAATTTTTTCTTTTGAATTGTTTGCTCTTTTATTTTTTATTCTTTGGATTTACTCTGGACTTTCAAGGACTATAGTTTCTCTCTTTTTAAAAATTTTTTTCTTTTTTTTCCCTCCTCCCTTCCTGGCTGGAGGGGAAAGGGAAGTGACAATTGTGCTTTTTAAAATGGCTTCAAAGAGGCAGCAGCCTTCCTCAATACCCAAGGTTATTTCTTCTCCTATAACTTCCACTGCACAGCTACAACAACACTCTAAACATGTACCACCGGCTCAGCCACCACCCTCCCCTCCTCTATCTGGACTTTCAGCACAAGAGGTTAGAGGCATAATGGGAGAGATTGTAGTTCAAATGAGAGAGGAAATGAATCAATTTGTCTCACAGATTAAATCAGAAATTAAATCTGATCTCAAAGAAGAGATAACGGGGATAAAGACTAAATTGCAAGAAAACAATAATGAATTACGACAAGATATACTGGCAGCTGTTTCAGGTTTGGCTACTGTGGTGGTTAAGCTCGATGCAAGGCTTGAGGAAGTGGAAGACAAAGTTGACTCTTTGGATGACAAAATTCAAGATGTGGAAAGGAAGGTGGACTCCTCACAAGAAGATATTTTGATGTTTCAGTACAGACAAATGGAGTATGCCCTGAGGATCAGAGGCCTCAAGGAAGATGTGAATCAAGATCTGGTGGAGGTGGTCCTTACTGATCTGGCGCTGGCCTTGGATATGGATAAAGGAGAATTACAGAGAGAAGTGGAAAAAATTTATAGGCTCAACTCCTGGATTGCTAAGCAGAAGAACTTGCCTAGAGATGTGGTGATTTATTTTACAAAGAAGTCCCTGCGGAATGAGATTATACAAGCTTTTTACAATAAAAGATTTCAGATTGCTGCCCAAGATGTCATCATTCTAAAGGAAATCCCATCCAAAATTTTAAGAAGCAGGAAAGACTTTGCTTTTTTAACCAATGAGCTTAAAGCTAGATCGATGCCATTTAGATGGGAAATTCCGATGGGTATTGTTTTGAGCCATGCTGGGACACGCTACAGATTGAACACAGTTGACAAAGCTAGAGATTTTTATACTTCGGTCCTGGGTGCAGGCTCAACCTCATCTGGTCGGAAATCTCTGAGTGGCAAGGAAGTTGAGCAGCAATCTGAGGCATTAGATTTGGTTTCCGCTGGGATGATAGAAGCTGTAAAGCAACGCCAGACGGAGGTTAAAGAGCAGAGGATGACCCGTGCAGCCTATAAGCGTAAAGAGAAGGAGCAACGTAAAAAAGAGCCTAAAGAGAGTTCTCCTGGAAGTGCATCACCGCCGGTGGGAGGAGCAAGACCCAAGAGTTATGCAACACACGCAGCTCTTTCAGAGTTTGATGGTGTCTTCTCCAGGCTGCGTGCCAAGGGAGATGGCAAAGTTTTTGACCTGGAATGTTAATGGATTGAATTCTCCTCAGAAACGCAAAAAAATCTTTTATTATTTGAAGCAACATACTAATGATGTTATTTGCTTACAGGAAACTCATATTTTACTTAAAGATCAGAAATATTTAGTTAATGCTCGTTTGGGATCTCATTTTATATCTTCTGCTCCTGGGAAGAAAGGGGGAGTTGTTATATATGTTAAACAAAACCTACCAGCTTGTCTGGTAGAATCAGATCCCCAGGGGAGATATGTGATGATTGAACTTGGTATTTATGGTAAGAAAATACTTATAGTTGGACTTTACGCTCCAAATCAACAACAGGAACAATTTTATAAGCAGTTACATCAAAAAATAACATTGCTTGATTATAGATCAGTGGTATTAATGGGTGATTGGAATGGTGTCTTAGATATACAAAAGGACAAGAAAGGTTCCTCTCCTTTTCTTAAACAAGCAAGGCTACCTAAAGCCTTTTTTGATATGAAAGAAGACTGGGAATTAAGGGATTATTGGCGGGAACGTAACCAAGAGGAGAGAGACTTTACTTTTTTTTCTGATAGACACCAATCTTTTTCAAGAATTGACTTTTTCTTGATTACCACGGACTTGTATAATAAAGTAAAGAATGTTAAGATTTTTCCTAGATCACTGACGGATCATAGTCCAGTTTGGATGGAGCTGATTCAAGAGAAAGAGGAAAGAAGATCCTGGAGAGTTAATGAAAATTTGTTTAGACAAGAGAAGAATGTTCAAAAATTAAAGGAGTGTTTAAAGGACTATTTTGCTTTGAATATGTACAAGGGGACTTCAATGTCAATGGTATGGGATGCAGGTAAAGCATTTATGCGCGGTGTTTTGATAAAAATGAATAATTTTTATAAGCGAAATCAGATTCAGAAACGTAGAGAACTTGAAGATGAAATTAAATTAAAAGAAAGGGCTTTGATTCTAAATCCTTCTGATGAAAGTACTAAAGAATCTGTAAAGTTATTAAGGTCACAATTTAATATGTTGATAGCAGATCAAGCTGCAACCAATTTATTATTTATGAAACAAATACATTTTGTAATGCTAATAAGCCGGGGAGATGGTTGGCTTATCAATTAAGAAAGAAACAGAGACAGAGAATAATAGAGAAAATAAATTACAAGGGTAAACTAGTTTCTCAGAAGGAATTAATTAAAAAATCTTTTTTGGATTATTATCAAAACTTATATAAATCTACTAATGTACAATTGTTAGATATAAATAAATATTTAGCTGAGGCAAGTTTTCCTAAACTGACTGAGGATCAGAAATATGAAATTAATGGCTTAATTACTAAGGAGGAAATTGCCTCAGCAATTCAACAATTGAAATTAGGGAAAGCACCGGGTACGGATGGGTTAACAGCTGTTTATTATAAAGCTTTAATGGAGGAGATGATACAACCATTAAATGATCTTTTTAATGGTATCTTACAGGGTTTAGAGATTCCTCCTTCATGGCGTAGTGCCTTTATATCATTGATTCCAAAGGAGGATCAAGATCTTACTTTACCAAAAAATTATAGGCCTATATCTCTTTTAAACGTGGATTATAAGATATTTGTAAAAATTTTGGTAAATAGGCTTATGAGGGTGGTGCATCATCTTGTGCATAAAGATCAATCAGGGTTTATAACAGGAAGGTATATGAAAAACAATGTTAGACAAATTATTAATCTATTAGAATACTTAGATAAGAACAACCAAGTTCCTGCAGGGCTCATATTTTTAGATGCTGAAAAAGCATTTGACCAATTGAATTGGCATTTTATGCTAAGAGTAATGGAAGAAATGAATTTTGGTGAAAATATATTACAAGCCCTTAAGGTAATATATCAAAAACAAACAGCACAACTTATTGTTAATGGAGGTCTTTCGGAGGTTTTCACAATAGAGAAAGGTACTAGACAGGGGTGTCCTTTATCGCCATTGTTGTTTGTTTTAACATTGGAAATATTATTGATCAAAATTCGAGAGTCTCAGGAAATTAAAGGAATATATGTTAATAAAAAAGAATATAAGTTAAGAGCTTTTGCGGATGACTTGGTTGTTACTTTGTCGCAACCTGATTATTCTGTAGTAAACTTATTACAGTTGATTCATCATTATGGCTTGGTCTCGGGTTTCAAGATTAATGTAAATAAGACCAAAATTTTACCTAAAAATATGTCTAGTCAGGAGAAGCAGATTTTGACTAACCTGACGGGTTTTGAGATTGTTAATAAGGTAAAATATTTGGGGGTGATGTTGTCTGTTTCTAATGTAAAATTATTTAAAAATAATTATGAAAGGTTGTGGGTCAGGGTACAGAAGGACTTGAAGAACTGGGAAAAGTTGCAATTATCCCTCATGGGAAGAATTGCAGTGATAAAAATGAATATTTTACCCAAGTTTCTTTTTCTGTTTCAAATGTTACCAATTTTGAAAAATGAGATTAATTTAAATGAGTGGCAGAAGGGTCTTAATAAATTTATCTGGGCAGGGAAAAAGCCAAGGGTTAAGTTTAAATTTATGCAAGACTTCCGTGAGAGGGGTGGACTTAAGGTACCAAATTTGAAATTATATTATGATGCGGTGGTTTTAACACTAATCAGTGATTGGGTAAATTTGACAAATTCTGAGATACTTTATCTAGAGGGATGGGATTTACTTTATGGGTGGCATGCCTATTTAATATTCAATAAAAAAATGGATTGGGCTTTTAAATCTCATATCTTAAGAATTTCTTTACTTAGGATTTGGAGAAAATATTATAAAAGTGATTTCAAAGTACCATTATGGGCTATACCTTGGCATGCGATAGAAGCAATAAAAAGAGGGGTTAAAATGGATATGGTGTCTTACAGACAGTTACTTAAATGGGATGGACAAAACTGGCAATTAAAATCACGGGAAGAGTTAGCGCAAGAAAACTTTATTTATTCTTGGTTCCAATATAGGCAATTATTAGACAGATGGAAGATGGATTGTAAGGTGGGTTTTCTTAGAGAAGATGAAAATCTTATTAAGCAAGTGAAGGATTCAAGACAAACCCACATTAAGAGAATTTATGCGGTTTTAGTTGAATTGGATTCAGAAATGGAACTAATTAAAGATTGTATGATAAGATGGGCGCAGAATTTTGGTGAGCCAGTCTCATTGGACACCTGGGAAAATATTTGGGTGAGAAATGTCAAATTTACACAAGCACAGAATTTAAGGGAGAATTTTTATAAAATGTTTTTATAGATGGCACCTTGATCCACAAAAAATGTCTTATATGTACCCTGACGTGCAACCCAAATGTTGGAGATGTGGTTATAAGGAGGCTTCCTATTATCATATTTGGTGGTCATGCAGAGAGATAAAAAGCATTTTGGATCAAAATATGGTGGAATATCCAGAGAATTTTTAGAAGGAGGGTAAAATTTACTCCGCAATTATTTTTGTTAGGTATTGTTACAGATTGTGATACAAAGGAGGTTGTTTTGATGTTAAATTTGATTACAGCCGCTAGGCTGTTAGTAGACAATATTGGAAGAAGGAATCTTTGCCTACATTGCAGGAATGGTTTCTTAAAGTAGCTTATCTGGCGGAAATGGCAAAGATCTCGGCTTTCTTAAAGCAACAAACGCAAGAGAAGTTTTTTGCTGTTTGGGATAAATGGATAAAATTTATACAATTTAGATTGGGTATACAAAAATATTATATAGTTTTTTCATAAGTTTTATTTTCATATATATTATAGATAATCTTTATATATATATAAATATAAAGTTCTTAATTTAATTTTTATTTTTACTTCTTAAGCCTATATTCTGCTCTGGGAAGCTCAGGGGGGGGGGAAGGGAGGGGGGGGTTTTGGGAGGGGTGGGGGTTTTTTTTTTATATATATGTATTGTTTAGTTTTATTTTTTTGTATATGTTGTCTCTTGTTTTGTATTCTTTTTTCTTTTTTGTAAAATTTATAAAACTTTTAATAAAAAAAAAAAAAAAAAAAAAAAAAAAAAAAAAAAAAAAAAAAAAAAAAAAAAAAAAAAAAAAAAAAAAAAAAAAAAAAAATTGATACTATCGATATTATGTATAATACCAGAAAAATGTGATGAAGATGTCTATATTTAATTGTATATGTATTAACGGTAACAAGAATTGTATTTGCCCAGTATGGAAAAATGCATACTACTGGAAAAAGAGAAGACCAAGGAAGCACTGGATGGTGTAGTATTGGACTAGACTGAGAAAGTTAATATATACCACTGAATTACTAATAGACCCAGACAACACGTTGCTTATTAAGTACTTAAACGATTATAAAATTAATAAAATATTTATAAAAAACCTGATGGTATCTACTAAAATGAATAATTCTCAAAATGTTTCTTTTAGATGGGCCCAAATTAATTTTCCCAATAAATTCATGAGAAAGATCAACTTCAGCCACTTGATTTCACTTATTTAAAACAGAAACTCTAGTATTTCAATTTTTCAAGGATTTGATATTTCAAGGGTTGCCTATTCCAATTCAGCCTATTTTTATAGATCCCCAAATTGATAGTCAAGCCCACTGTTTAAATGGGAAAACTACAATTTTGTGACATAAATTGCCTCCACTTTAAAGAATATAAAAATGTTGAGGGCCAGCTTGGCCACAAATGGATTTATCTGTGAATATATAATGTGAATGTATAAGCCATTTGAGCCACTGACCCTCATTAGGCTGTGATAGTGAGTTTTTTTAAAGTTTCTGTTCTGTTTTTGGTGACAAAAAATAATGTGACATAGACACTGAGAATACAACTTTCCATGATTCTCCTTGGATTCAGCATGAAGTTTTCCATCACTGCATTTATGTTAAGTTGTTCCTATCAAAATTCTTTCTTCCTGACAGCTGATGGAAGATCCTGTAGAAATCATTAACAACAAACTGGAACTTCAGGCCTTTGACCACATGGAGGAGGAAATCAAACTTATTGGCTACTTCAAAGGAGAAGATTCAGAATGTATGTTCTAAGTCATGATGAAATTTGAAGGGAGCTGGAAAGCAGTATCATTTTTTTCCATTGGTTGAAATGAATTGATATGTTTCTTAAAACATTTGTACATTCTTTACAACATGCATTGTGTGTAGTCCTGCATAGAATAGTATAGATGTTCAAAGTAGGTATATATTATAGGTATATATTTTCTGCCCTTGCCCAATCCTCAATACATTCATCCAAGGTTTGAAAAGCTCCTTGTATTACAAGGCGATGTGCTCTGTTACACCTACTCTAATCTTATTTAGTTTTCTGAGACAGTGATTCTGTACACACTGAATTAGAAATGAGATATTTTCTGTGTGGCAGTAGTAAAAAAAAAAAAAGCATACTGAAGTGTGATCCTCTCCGCTGGATTGGAAATGTAGTACAAGTAAAAAAAATTAAACCCAAAGCAGAATGACTCAGGGGCCAGAGGGAATTGGGCATGCACCCACTAGATGAAAGAGACTGATTAATCAGGAGTTTTGGAGAATAAGTCAACCCCCCACTTCTCAGTGGCAGCCCCCTATGTACCAGAAGGCAACTATCACATCATCTCTAATTGTTCTCTTCATTAGGCTAGACATACCTAGTTCTCTTTGCTATTCCTAGTGGAATTTATCCTGCAGTCCCTTATCATCTTAGTTGCTCTTCTCTGCAGTCTTTCCCCCTGGGTCTCAGCCTCTTTCTTGTATCATGGTGACCAGAATTGGATGCAGTATTCCAAGTGTGGCCTCACTAGTGCAGTATAATTTCATTCAATAAAATCCTTGAACTAATAGAATGGTCATAGAAACTTATAGTAGAGAACATATAATGACATTAATGTAATTTATTTTTCCTACCTTTTATTTAAACTTAGAATGCATTTTCACCACATAAAGTATGTGTTTGAGATAGTTAGGTCTAGTGGTTAAGGCATCAGGCTTGAAACCAGAAGACCATGAGTTCTAGTCCACCTTAGCCATGAAAGCCTTCTCATAGGGTTGTTGTAGGGAAAATAGGAAGAGGAAGGTATGTTGAATTATTTGCCTTGGATTATTTGTAAAAATAATAACGGTGAGATACAAATAAATAAATAAATTCAGTATGCTAACTTGAGCCACTATAGTCCTGATGTATGAAAAATTCTCCCAAAAATTCCATTAACTATTCATCTAAGTTTTTTCGGAGGCCTGTATTGCTTATAGTAAACCATTTTGATATAATTTACCTATACATAATATTTTGACAATATTTCACAATGGGTGATGGCTAGTATATAGGCTACAGTGATACCAAATATTGTATTGATCTTAATTTAAACAAAATGTGATTCTTTTTCCTTTTTCCTCCTTCTCAGATTACAAAGCATTTGAAGAGGCAGCTGAACATTTCCAGCCTTATGTTAGGTTCTTTGCCACATTTGACAAAGGGGTAAGGACACAAAGATTCCCATGCTGATCTGGTGATTGGGAAAGCTCCAGGTGCATTGTATGATTCTGATTATCTGGAATCATTTCAGTCGGCCTTAGAGCTAGAATAAGGTATTGTTTGGGTTGTTTTGGTAGATGGACTATGCCAGAAATTGAATTATGGTGAGGAGAAAGAATATGACCATTCTGGTTCTATTGGACCTCTTGGCATGTTTTGTATGTATCCTTTTCTGTTCTCAAATCTTCACTAAGGTTTTTGTGCAGTCATACTGACTTTGCCTGCTATCTTCTTCTTTCCCTCATTGGAATTATTTATACTGTTTTTTTAGTATCTTTTTCTTTTTTTCTCTGAAGCTCTCTTCCATGAAATACTTCTTATTGCTAAGTTCATTAAAACTGAGGCAAGGGGAGCTTAATTCCAAGGGTTGTGTTCAACTGTAACTTCAGCTATATATGATCACTTCTCCAAATCTGCTTCTTACTTCCTACTAAGTTAAGACTAGCTGGTTCTCTTGTGCCACCCCCTCCATTATCTATAAGAGAAAATTATCAACATGACAGGTCAGAAAGATCATGCTTGCAAGAGTTTGTCTTCTAATCAATATTAAGTCAATTAATGTCTCCCATAAGTATGATTTTATTTTTATCCCACCTTTATTATTTTTATGAATAACTAAAAGCAGCAAACATACCCAATGCACTTTCTCCCTGCTATTTTCCCTAGTACAGCTTTGTCTGGTGGGTTGAGCTGAGAGTGACTGGAACAAAGTCATCTGCTGGCTTTCATGCCTTAAGATGGGACTAGAATTCATAATCTCCTTGGCTTCTAGCCTGGTGCCTTAACCACTAGACAAAATTGGATCTCCTTCATTTTATTTTGGAAGATATTTTGGTTCAGCAGCAGTAGTAGATACCAACAATGATACTTTCTTCATTTATTTCTTTAATTTGTGCAGCATCGCTAAGTTAATTTGTTGGGATTTTTCAGCAGGAAAACTTATTTTTAACTTATAATGCAATCTCTCCTTTTCTGTATCTTCTGTTCCTTTTGCACATATATTTCAACTACTACAATCCATCTGTGGGATCACCTCCCCAGGTCTCTGTTAAACCTATTTATAATATTTGCTTTCTGTTCCAAAAGCATAAGTTCATAACATTTATATACCATATTCTGAATATGAATGTAGAGAAAATGAAGGCCATTAAATCATGAGCTAATATTTTAATGTTTTTTATTTCAGAGAGTCTATTTCAACAACATTCTTACTTTCTACAGTGGTCACATTCTTGATTCATGATTTTCATTTTAGTGAAGGAAAATTCCAAAATGTCCTTTATAACAGAGGTCCCCAACCTTTTGGGCACCAGTGACCAGTTCCATGGAGAGAGGTTTTTCCATGGACAGGAGGGTGTGTGGTTTTGTGAGCTGCCTGCATCTCGTGGATGGGTCTTTGCTTGTTTGTGCAGACCAGTTGCTGGCATGCTGCAGCCTACTACTGGTCCACAGACTGGTGGTTGGGGACCCCTGCTTTATAACAATCAGTTACGCCCCTGCAAATCGAATACAAAAGAATCCTTAAGTCCTGTATTATTATAGGCTATTTTATACAATAGAAATATTGTACCACTTTTAGTGGACTCTCCAGGATGTAGTGATTATTTTTACAATTACATTACTGTTGTTGGCTAATAAATATGACTTTGCAGCGGTGCTGGTCTAAAAACCAAGGGACTGTGAGTTCTAGTTCCACCTTAGGCATGAAAGCTAGCTGGGTGACCTTGGACCAGTCATTCTCTTTCAACCCAACCCAAATCCCATAGTGTTTTTGTTGTGGAGAAAATCGAAGAAATATATATTATGTATTTTTACCACCGAGCTTATTTCATGCGGTTAGGCTGCTATTCTAGCATCATGACTTTAGAAATACTATTTCTAGTGCCAATAAATATAAATGCTCATAACAAAATATATTAAAAAATCTTGTGCTTGTTTGTTTTAAAGATAAAAATTATATGCTGAGCATTATATGTTAGTGCAAACTATATTTTTGCTTTCTAGCTTTCAAAACAGTATTGCTGATGGCATGGAGTTTAAACTTAGAAACCAGATGGAATATTTTTAACATTGGAAAAACATTCATATAATATTGATTATATCAATAATCAATATTGTCAAGGCAAGAAACAATGGATGGAAACTAACCAAGGAGAGAACCAACCTAAAACTAAGAAGAAATTTCCTAATAATGAGAATAATTAATCAACGGAACAGCCTGCCTTCAGAAGTTGTGGATGCTCCATCACTGGAGGTTTTAAAGAAGAGACTGGACAGCCCTTTGCCTGAAGTGGTATAGGGTCTCCTTTTTGAGCAAGGGGCTGGACTAGAAGACCTCCAAAGTCCCTTCCAACTCTGTTATTCTATGTTCTATAATGTGTCCTAAACATTTAAAGTGTAGTTTTCAGAAACAGAAATTACTATTGTTATGTCTACAATATCTATACGTACCATACTTTCCAGCAAAATAAATTGCTATAATTTACCAATGTCCCATTTCTTATAGGTGGCCAAGAAATTGGGCCTAAAGCTAAATGAGGTGGATTTCTATGAACCATTTATGGATGATCCCATCCGTGTTCCTGACAAGCCATATACTGAAGAAGAATTGGTTGAGTTTGTGAATGAGCACAAAAGGTACAGAGAATGGCATGAGCATTTCACCTACATTTCTATCAATATCTATCTATCTATCTATCTATCTATCTATCTATCTATCTATACATACATAAATACATACATACATATACATATACATACATACATACATACATATATATATATATATATATATATATATATATATATATATATATGCTGGAAAATTTGCATAAAAATACGACTCCTGGGCATGTCTATGGTACAAATATTTAAGTCATCATTGTTTACTGGCTCCTTAGCCCTGATGATGTTTGGAGTTTCCAAACAAAAGCTTGGCAGCTTTTAGTAAAGTATATTTTTATATTTATACTCTCCTGGTGTTCGTATTTTATTTGTACCATATATATATATATATATATATATATATATATATATATATATATATATATATAGAAAAAAAACCAACAACCTCCTGCCTGGTGATAACACACAGTTAAATAAGCCATTTGATGGGCTTCATCCCACTCTGGGTTCTCCAGGCCCACTGGCAGAACCAGGTGAAGACCCTGAAGAGGGCTTTACAAAAGAGTGTCAAAGTGGGGGCTAGTCTACATTTTGAAGGGATGATATACCAAAAGGACGGAGCCACCATGGAGAAGGCTCTTCTGGGTCCCACAAATATACCTCCTTAGGGGATGGGAACCTACAATATTCCTTGCTTTCTCACTCTAGTCTAGTGAATTGGGTGGATGTGACTGGCAAGTCGTGGTCCCTCAGATAACCTGGTCCCAAGCCATGAAGGGCTTTAAAGGTGACAACTAGTACCTTTGATTGCACTCAGAAACAAATTGGCAACCAATGCAGCTCCCACAGAAGAGATGACACATGTGCACACTAAGGTCTCCACAAAACCACATGTGTTGAATTCAAGTGCCAATCCTAGAAAAATAGTGAATTTATACTTTTTCCCTCCTGAGATTGATAGAGTTATTATATCTAGAACTGGTTAATGGTTAGTGTTTTGTAAGGATTTCTGTCATGTTCTTCCTAAAACTTGGAAAAAATTACAAATTACCATACATTTGGTAACTGAAAAAGAGGATCCAATGGAGACTTCTGCATGGTAGCAACTGGTCATGAGCTTGCGGATTCTCCGCACCCCTGTGGCTAATTTCGCCCTGCCAGGGGACCCTAAATGGGTCTAAGTCGCCCTGGAGAGGTGACAAAGGAAGAAGGATGCTCCAGCGATTCTGGAATGGTGGTGGCCATTCCGTTCGACTTGGGGAAAGCCTTCTAACCCGACAGGAGAAAGGCTGGCCGTATTGCATTGACCAGCCCAAGCTACTTGCAACCAAAATCCAAAAGCACTAAACTAACCAGCACAACTGTGAACAGCGTGCTTGAAACTGGGTGAGGAATTTGATCTTCTCTTTTCTATTTTACATTTAATTTCCTGGAAAAGATCCGCAAGAAGCAAAATACCTCCGAAAGGGAAGGAGGGGGATTTCCCTTATACTAACAGAAGCGGTGAATTAATCTTTTTATGGAGGATCAAAATATATGGAAGTGAAATAAATATAAAATCTGAAACTTAAAACTTAAATCTGGATAAATCTAAAATTGTTTTAATGGTTAAGACTCTCATTTTAAAGATAATTGTTCATTTTGGGAATTGAAAAACAAATAGTTGCTGACATCTAGTGGCAGATGAAGACTATGACAGCTATGACTTTAATATAAGATTTGGTAAAATCTGGGGAAAGCTAATCTGTGTCTGTGACCTTCAAAGCTTTAACAACAAAGAACAGCTGTGAAAAAAAGACAATAATCTGGACTGTAGACAAAGAGAAAATTATAAATTTCAGAAAAAAAATCTTTTTTGAACTATTTGGATTACAAATATCTATCTAATTGGGACTCTAAAGCTATTTACAGAGAAAAGAAAGGAAGAGGAAAACTCAAATTCTTGGCTGTCATGGATCAGAGACATGTAGAAAGAACATATCAAGAAAACATAAATACATCAGAGGAGGAGATATGTAGTATACTGTGACTAATTCAAACAACAATGACTTTAAACCACAAAGAAATCCAAAAGAACATTGAAAATATAAATCAATGTATTTCCAAGTTAACTCTACAACAAAAAAATTCCAAGAAAACAACAGCAGAGAAAGAGTAGATAAAACAGATCAATGGATATAGAATTGAGAAGAGAGACTTAAAGATATAATTTAACAAAACAAGGAAACATGATTTAATCCAAGTGGGGAAAAATTCATATGAATTGGAAAAAAACAACTTATCCCTTAAGACTACAAAATAAATCTGAGGACAAGAAAACAGATCAGATAAAATGGACTATAGAGATATCAGGAACATTGGAGAGAAAGGAAATGATAAGAGAAGCGCGAGAAAGAAAAAGAAAAAGATTTTCAACAAACATGGAAAAGCAGAAGTCCCGTACAAAGACACTTCTCCTGATTTACTTTTTATATCTGCAGCAACATTTACGAACATATGGAAAAACTTTTTGATTCAGCAAAATACATTGATTAAGAAAGACACTGGGCAAAAGAAAGACTAAAGTAGAAACTAAGAAAATAGATGATGGGACTTACCAGCGAGAATACTTAGAAAAGAAATATTTGTTTGAATATGGGTAAAGAAATAGAAAAGTTTTGGAATATATATGTCATTCTAAGAGGAATGAATTCCCTAAATAATATAGTATGCTTTTTTCCCTTTTTTGTTCCCTTTCTTGATATGAGTAATATAAAAGAGTTGAAATGACTTAGATAAAGTAAATGTTTTCGATGTTTAAATGTGATTGAATTTAAGAAAACTATAAAGGATAAAAAATGTTTTGAATAAGAATTAAAGGACTAGATGACTAGATGTATTAAATGGAAAGTTTAAAGATTAAACATATTTTTAATTATGGTTAAAAATAATAAGAACTTTAGGAAATAAATAGATAGGATATATCTATCTATAGGAAGGATATATATTTTGAGCAGTATGTTATTTTTTATGCTTCTTTACTCTTGATTTTCTTTCCTTTTTTCTTCTGTTTTATCTATTCCTTAAGAAATGTAAAAGTGTGAGATGGTTCATATGGAAAAATAGAGTTAAATTCTTAAATGTAATTAATTTTGAGAAAATCTTAACGTAAGAATATCTAGAATTTGGTGGGAGAAACAAATTAAAATAAGGACTGTAACAGGATCTATGATAAGGCAACCAGAATAATTGGATAGAAAAGAAATATTATATTGATGTGATTATTATTTTTAGAACTATTGGGAAAAATATCTATTTAATTATCTATCGAAACAATAAGAATTGTATTAACTCCATGTTTCCAGAAGAGGATATTTTGGGAAAAGAGGAAATCAACTAAAACTATTATGTGGATTATGGATTATAGAAATCAATTGTTAGTGATTGTTTTACAAGTGTAACCCAGACAACACACTGTTCACCAATTATTAAGTGATTTATGTTTTTTAAAAAATCAATAAAATATATTACAAAAAATGGCTGAATGATTTCAAGGTTCCTATGTATCTGTGAAAAGTACAAAAGAGTGAAGATCTATTAACTAGTACAAAAAGCCTTCCCCCTCACATCACTGTAATCCACAAGGCTTTGTCTACATTCCCTACCTTATTCATTTCAATGTTTATTTGAAAGTCCAGTTCATATAAAGATTTTGCTATTCAACTCTCCTCTCAGGAAAAGAATCTGTTCTATCTACATGGGTAGCAGAGAAAACAAGAAGGGAAAAGGCAATATAATACTTTGAATCTGATAGAATCAGCCCCACACACTGCTGTTGTTCAGGTTAATACCATCTTCTCTGAATATCCTCCAGCCCTTCTGTGTTTGTTGAAGAGTGACTGTAATGTTTTATGGAACTGGTTTCTGATCTGCCAGTCATGCTTTCCTAATCTACTTTTCCTACACATATTCTTATGAATTGAAATAGAATTGAATGGAACTGAAAACCATTTGTTTCCCTTTCAGAAGCACACTGCGCAAGTTGCAACCTGAAGACATGTTTGAGATCTGGGTAAGGGTGTAAACCTTATGGAATATTCATTTGAAAAAAGCCCTGGGTTAGTTAGAAAAGCTAAAATAGCATCTTGCAGGCTTTTGTAGGTTGGATGTGCGATTATTCATGCAATAGTCATTCATGCTCATCCAAACTGATGTTTCAACTTTTACAATGTCTTTATAGATGAATAATCTAGGAAATGATTGAGAAATTTGGTTCAAACAGTGCCAGCAAACAGTTAATGAGATCATCTTATGCCAATGCTTTGCCATTTCAAGGCCAAATTCAAAGTGATAGTCCAAGGCTATGAAGCCATAGGGAACCTAGTGCAGACTATCAAAAATGGTATCTGTTCCTGCTTATTAATCCTTGGATTGTTGAAATGGGCCATGAGAATAACCTTGAAGAACGAGGATAAAGAACTGCAGCTAAAGCAAGGGTCAGATAGAGAAATCTGAGTCTAAAGGAGGAATGGAATTTGAGAAGGTGTCTCAGACTTGACGGTCTTTAATTCTCTTCAGGATAAAGGCAGAAACTTCTTTCTTCTCAAGCTTCTGTTATTGTAATAGTAGCAGAATATTTTAGTATTCTTAATTTGGGTATTCAAGTGTATCTACCCTAAAGGGCTGACAGGTGCTTTCTGAAGTCTTTCTCTGGCCAAATGAGTTAAGAAGGATAGCCAGAAGAGGAAGGGGCACCTTGCTTCATCTTATATTTTATATTTTTATATTTATATTTAAAATATTATTTCACTATTTTTCCCAGTATAATATTGCCAGTTTTTTATTGAAATTTTAATTCCATAGCAATTGTTATCTTATTGTTGCTTAATATTATATTTTATTGTGCTGCTTTCCATAATGGTTTTAATTTTTAAATCTTTTCCTGTATTTATATTCTGCTCAAAAGTTAAACAAACAAATAAATATACATTCAGGCTAGAATTCCTCCTCTCCTAATCCACAAAACTCAATTCAAGGCACTCTGCAAATGTCAGAGCTAATTTCTGGCAGCAACAGAACTGTGTACAAATGAGAAGACCGACTGAGAATGAGCCATCATTGCTAAGAAACCTCCTTCTAAGAGAACCAATGTCTAGTTTATCCATATAAAGATAGACACATGCATGTACTATGTTGTGTTTAATAAATTTAGAGAATACATTCCATTGTTTTATAAAATTATGGTACATCAGTGAATAGGTCAAGATCATTGACTCCATAGCATATAAATAAAAATAATGATCAAGTCAAAGTGACCTTCTTTTGTCATCAAGCAATTAAGGATAACAACTTTTTCTAAGCTGCACACATAGTGTATACCTCTATAGAGGAATCTCTTTTTCTTATAGCAGAAGTGGATTTTGGAACATAGAAGTACTGAATAATTTATCATTAAAAGCAGCTAAGCATGGCAGTTTTAAATTTCATTTATTTTGATGTTTGGCAATAATGCAATTGAAAGGGAACATAGAAAGCTGTTCTGTAGCCATATTCTTCCTACCCTTCACCTCCCACTTCATTCAGTGTTAGCAGTAAATGTCATAGATCTGTTAGATTGCTGTTATCCTTGCCAAAACATAACCTGAATTGGAAAGATAGACTAAAATCTCTTTATTTATGTACACAAGTAAGGAGAGGCACCTTACCCAAGAGAAGAGAATAGCAGCTTGGAAAGGTAGAAAATCATCTTATATACATATTAGGTTTAGAATTGTTCTTTCATTTGTTAACATTAACTGACACGTCTCTGTAAGACTCAGTAAGTCTAGTATGTAATATGTAGCATTCCATAGCATCCCATTATATTCTTAGTATGATTTTGAATATCATACTCTCATCTTCATATTCAAGAGATATGTTTCTCACATTATAATGTCTAAGCCACATGTGTCCTTGATAGGTTTAAACCAGTTTTCTTATCAGGTAGTACATAGCTTTCTTTGCTCCTCCAAAAACTAGAAACATTAATAAAAAAACATAAATTAATCAAACGTTAATCAAAAAAACTCCTAATTACTGAAAACATCCATCAAGGAAGCTTCCCTCTGTCATCACAGGTGCAACTCCTAGCAGTGGGCTCAGAAGGAGGTAGGCAGAGTTCAGCAGCAATAAAACCTCAAAGCACAACACTTCAGACCTGAGAGAACCTCAGTAAAGATTCCCCCTTTCCCAATCCCAGCGCCTTTCATCTCATAAAATACATGCTTTGCCTGTAGAAATCTCGTTGTCAGCCCTTTATATCTTTAATTAAAACTCTGTTTGAGATTTAAACCCAGTGCTTTTTTTGTAAACAAAAAAAGTGCCAGAACTCATACATGTCATAAAACCCGCCTTGCCTACCCTACAAGGTTTACCTTTGTAGTTGAAAAAAAAAACCTTCAATTTTTAGTGTATCTAAAAGACTAGGATTTTGTTCAAGGTAAGTTAATACTATTAATGTTATCATGCACTGTATGGCTTTAAATTACAAGAAGACATTTTATTAATCTTTTGGGACATTTACCACTGACATACCCATTTAGTTTAATGAGTGGAAATGGCAGCTTTCTATGTGGAATGAAATTGGCCCAATAAAACAAAATTTGGTTGCTTGTAAAAGATTGAATTATTTTTAAGAAGTTGTCAAACAAGGTGGAAAAATTTACATTTGGAGTTTAATATGGATATTGACTTGAAACAAATTAAAGTTGAAACTTTGTCAGTGAACAGATTACTTTTAATTTATCTTTAAGTTAAACACAATTTAATAAATAGATCTGATTAAACTTCATACTGTAGGTTTACCTTTACATCTGACCAGTACATAATTAATATATATTATTAATAATAATAATACTTCCAGATCACAAGACATTGGCTTTATTCTTATTCTTCCCCTCTGCAATTTGAATATAAAGACTAAAAAAAGATTTTCATAGATATCCCAGCCTTTGAACTACCCAAGGAACTGAAATAGCAAAGTTTCGCTGTTGGGCAAGCTTCCATGCCAGCTGCCTTTCTTTTTAACCTCACAACCCTCCTTCTGTAAGGGAAGGCAAAAGACTCACTCGCCCTCTCATGAAAGATGGCCTCCATGTTTATGTATCTCCTACCGCCACCATCGGCTTCCACATCACATGGTCCAACCCAGCCAATCAAGCCACGCTCTGGCTGTGGTGCTCCGGCGCCTCATAGCTCCTCCTAGAGGAGGCAGACAGCACCGGAGGGGACCCCATTCAGATTGTACTGCCAACGGGGCATTTTCAAAAGCAAACGAGGATAGGAAGGGCAACAATAGGAAAAGAACACAATTCTGGAAAATCTGTCAAAAAAAGTTGCCAGAACTCCATTTTGGTGCGTTCTATGATTTAAAAAGCCCTACTTAAACCATTTTAACAGACAGCACTGACTGAATCCAGGCCTAGGTCTCCTGTATCTCTCAACTCCTAAAAGCTGAGGAAAAAAAGCTGTTTCAAGCCCAAACAGGCTTTTAGCATATTCTCTGTGAACCAATTAATTGCAGGGAGAGTCAGTCTGAGGCTCCAGCCACACATCTGATTTGTGCTGTTTAGGAACTGGCTCTGTGCTCTTGTGTTGTTCCCAGAATGCCAGGATCCTAATGATGATGATCATCATCATTCTGCCTTTCTTCCAAAGCTCACATCTACTTGCTCTTTGACTTTCTCCTAGAGATGTGGCAAGACTAGTGCCAGGCTTTGCCTATTCCTGAAATGCATTGTAACTTCTATATAAGAGTTAAATGTCTATGGAGATTCTCAGTTATCTAGGCCACGGTTGTCCCAAAGGTGCTTCTCATAGGCATTTTGCTTCTCATCCAAGAAGCTTCTTCAGCTCTTGAGTTGGAACTGAAGAAGCTTCTTGGACGAGAAGTGAAGCGTCTTCAAGGAAAAACAAAGTACAGTTACCTCTTGAAAAAGCACCTTTGGGATAAGAGATAGATATAACTTCCATCTCTGCTTTATTATAGTTACAAAATTGCTTCCCTCCCCTCCAGAACGCTCCCCTTCACACACAGAATATTTCCACTTCCCACAAGAAATTGCACATCCCTGGCTCTTCAATTTTCTTCTCTCCCTGCTGAAGTTAAGGCTCAACAGCTCCTGTTTTCATTTCATCAGATTTCTTAGAATTTCTTTTATGTTGCCTCATTTTCATTGTCCCTCCTGTGGCTGTTGCAAGCATTCACCTGAGCTGGTCAGTGCCCCTGAGCCCTTTTTCTGTTGTGCTTGCTTTGGGATGAGACAAAATAAAAAACAAAAACATTGCTGGCTGCCACTCAGAAATCTAGTGCAAGGGCACCTGGGGTCCTGAGATGGCTTGTTAATGGTGAGGAAGGGAGGGAGAAATAGTACTTCCCACCAATTGGATTATGTCTTGTCTACAAGCTCCAAGTTGCTCTGGCATCTTAGATCAACATTTGAGATTTTTCACAATTGATCCAGAAGAGAATCAGCTTGGGAACTCCAGCTGATTCTCTTCTGGATCAATGGAACAAAGGACTGCACAAAAGTGCTTTTGAACTATGATGCCTTGATACCATTTTGCCAGGCTTCTTAAACTGGGCAAGGATCTACTTCTTCTCTCACCTCCAGACTACTTCATAAATGGACAGAAGACATGGACTGAGCACTGATTTCTTGCCAGCTTTTATTCTTTCTCTGTTGGTTAAATCACTGGTTAGTTTATAGGGAATACTCTGCATTGCTTTTGCAATGGGGAGGATATTGTTAGGGGCTGTCTGAAGAGGTCTGGCACATTGCATTGCATAGATGGTAAGTAGAAAACCCACACACAGAGAGGGCAAAACTTCCAATGGCAAAGAATGGGAGCACATTATTTTCTTAACACAAATAGCAGCTAGACATTTCATCCAAAATCATAGATGGAGATGGCTTAATTTACCCTCTCACTTGTATCTAGAAGAGAATGGGAAGGAGGAGACAATTCTAGAATGTGACAATTTCTGTTATACCATTCACATAAGGTGTAATTTGAGCTCACAGGCAAAGTATTTCTGTTTTGGATACTAAAGATCTAAGGTGGAAACTTTATCACTTCCAGTTAAGTGATTTTGGCTTGATAGGACTTTTGCCTGAAAACATCTGGAACTATTGTCAATCAGAGTAGATCACATAGGGATTGGAATGGATAGATTGACTCACTAAAATGTCATTTCAACTGTGAGTGTGCAGGTCAGTGTGGTAGATAGAGTTTCACTTTGTTGCCACTGAATTGAATAGCAGTCTATAATCTCTGGCACATAATTATATACACCCTACAAGAACCTGGAGAAAAACTTCTACTACTGCACTGGAGAGAAGAGCTGGGTCTTTTGTTTAATGAGTTATTGACTCTGGCATTATGCTTGTGTTAAGACAGCTGGAGATTGAGTGGGAGAGTATGGGGAAAACAAGAAAGAAGCACAGAAGGCCACACTATCTTGGACTACTTTTGCTCCAATTTCAGTCATAAATCTACTTTAAATATCCCTCTCAGACTCTGATTCCCCTGTGGAAGCCTTGGTCTTACAATCTCTCTCTCCCATCCCTCCACCAATATTTTCCACTTATTCTTTTAATTCTTCATTTTATGGGGTTCTGTCACTTTTGGACTCAGAGGAGAAAGACATTAGCATTTAGATGGATTTTTTTTCCTCTTGCATTAATACCAATTGAAATTGAAAGCTGGGATTGGCGGGACACAAGGAACATGAGGGTTTTCCATGGTATAATTCCAAGATGACGTTTGTAGCAGGTGCACAATAAACATCCTCTCTGCCAACTCTGGGGACTTTTGCCAATATAATTTTACTGAACCCAGCTGCCCAAGGTTTGGATGCTATTTTTTGGAAGAAAATCTGTCCCAGACTTGATTTTTAATATCATTTTTTCACAAGTCATCTTTACAGAATACAGAAAAGAGAATAACAGGGTTGGAAGGGCTTTGGAGATCTTCTAGTCCAACCCCCTGCTGGAGCAGGAGACACTATACTATTCTAGACAAATAGCTGACTTGTCTCTTGTTAAAAACCTCCAGTGATGGAGCATCTACAATCAATGGAGGTAAGCCGTTCCATTGATTAATTCTTCTGACTGTCAGGAAACTTCTTCTTTCTCCTTTTATTATTATTTTAACTCTAAATCTCTTAAATGACAAAATTATGTTTACCATAAAGTAACTGAACAATAATCCAGAAAGAGAAAACTTCATTTGATTTCTGTAATTGCCAGTTGCAATGATTTAAGTAATTTAAAACCACAGAATATCTAGGTTCAAAAGAACCTCCAGCTCAAAGAAATGGCCATCTGGCCTCTGCTGAGCCTCAAAGCCTTGGTGGTGCAGTGGTTAGAATGCAGTATTGCAGGCTAATTCTGCTGACTGCCAGCAGTTTGATTCTCACTGGCTCAAGGTTGATTCAGCCTTCCATCCTTCCAAGGCCGGTAAAATGAGGATTCAGATTATTGGGGACAATATGCAGACTCTTTACAAAGAGGGCTGTAAAGCACTATGAAGTGGTATATAAGTCTGAGTGCTAGTACTAAGTGCAATTGCTATTGCTTAAAACCTCCAGTGAAGAGAATTCACCCAAGAAAGTTTTGCATTGTTAAACAGTTCTCACTGTTAGGAATAATTTTTTAATGTCCAATTGAAATTGACTTCTGTGTAATTTAAATTAAATACCCATGGTTTCTTGCCCAGTCTTCTGGGGCAATTACTCAATGTCCTATAAGACAGCTTTTCTGATATTCGAAGACTTCAGTAAGTAAGTAAGACAAAGTAGATCGGAGCCTACTTCTTGATAAGATAGAAAAATGTGGGATAGACAGCATCACCACCACATGGATTCACAACTGGTAGATCAACTGCACTCAGCATGTAGTCTTGTAAATGAAGGGAAGCATATAGTGGGTATCTCAAGGTTCTGTCTTAAGCCCAGTACTCTTCAACATCTGTATAAATGATTTAGATGAGGGGATAGAAGGGGAACTCATCAAATTTACTGATGACGGGGGGGGGGGGGAGATAGCCAACACTTTGGAAGATAGACTCAAGATCCAGAAAGAACTTGACAGACTTCAAAATTAGGCCCTATCCAGGAAAATAGTGTTCAGAGGGAAGAAAAGTAAGGTCTTTGGCTGTAACTGTGAAATGGATCTAAGAATCCTAGCGGACAACTGCTTTACTATGAGTGTGCTGCAGCTGCCAAAAAAAGTCAATGCAGTCGTATGCTGCATCAACAGAGAGATAGTATCAAGATCATGTGAAATGTAGTACTGCTTTATATTGCACTGGTAAGATCACACTTCCAGTTTTAATCACCATGATACAAAAAAGATATTGAAACTCTAGAAAAAGTGTAGAGAAAAGCAATGAAGATGATAAGGGGGTCTGAAGGTTAAATTGTACAATGAACAGTTGCAGGAACTTGGTATGTCTAATTTAGCAAAGAGAACGACTGGGGTTGACTTGAAACAGTCTTCCAATACTTAACAATCGATTCTCCAAAGCACCTAAGGGTAGAGCAAGAAGTAACAGGAGTAAGTAATGAACGATTATTGAAGAGAGATTTATTGACAGTGAAAACAATGGAATGGTTTGCCTCCAGAAATTGTGAGTGCTCCTTCAATGGAGATATCCAAGAATAGATTGGACAACCATTTATCTAGAATGGTATAGGCTTCCCTGCTTGAACAGGGGGCTGGTCTAGAAGACCTTAAAGGTTCCTTCCAACTCTCCCTACGGTCTTCTCATTTTCAGGATAAACATAACCAATAATATTTCTATTTTCTATTCCTAAGTTTGTCTGTCTCTCTATCTTGTAAAATTTGAAACTATGGAATAGCAGTGTGTGGTGTATGTATGTTTTGGTGGTATTGCATGCTTTGTAATTAATGATGTGGACTCATCAAAACATGTTTCTTGCATACAGGAGGACGATCTAGATGGAATTCACATTGTGGCATTTGCTGAAAAAGATGATCCAGGTACAAAACACATAGGCTTGTTGCAGGTCTTTGTGTAAAGAACATAAGACATTGCTGTCAGGGGATGACTTTCTGTCTGCCACCTGTCTATTACAAGAAAGTGTCCAATGACATAAAAATGTATGCTGATTATGGGTATTCACCTCCATGAACTATGTTCCATTCTTCACATGTAGGAGAAATTAGCTCAAAAGACAAGTATATACAGTATACTCGCATGCTTTTAGAGGAGGGAAGGTGGATGTATGTATTTTTGCATTTTTCTTTATGCAAATAAATGCTAAAAGCAAATTAATTAGGGAATCAGATTTTGAAATAAAAACCATTTATCTGGGCATTTTCAGCTTAATCTCTGAAATGTTTCATTTGCAATAATACTTCAATCGCTGATTCATTGCTAGCTGTTCTCCTCCTCAGTGTTTCATATGTAACTGGAACCATCTTCACTCTCTTTCTGAGGTCATTTACTCCCCTGTGATACAGTATGTCTAACATTAAAATGGAAAAAAAAGTTCTTCACCAGAAATCTTCCATTCCAGTTCTGAGTGGGCTGAACTCAGAGTTTAGTGTCTTCAAAAGGACTTGGCAAGTACCACCCAAATTTGAAAGCAGACAGTGAACCACTAGTGAAATGGGGGGACTGAGAAATGGTGCACTGAAATCACCTTCTCTTATATGATTGTAGTTGCTTGGAACTTGCTATTCTTGTCTGATTACTATAAACACCCTAAGTATTCTTCTGCAGAGCAATCCCACAAGCCTATCACTTAACTGTTATAATTTCAGATGGCTTCGAATTCCTGGAAATTGTCAAACAGGTTGCCAAAGACAACACTGATAATCCTGATCTAAGCATTGTCTGGATTGATCCTGATGATTTTCCTCTGGTAAGTACATAGACATTCCATGTATAATAGAGAGCAAAGAATTGCAATCAGTTGAATTAATTGTATACTACCATCAAGAAAAAATTCCAGGATGAATTTAATATATGACTTTCAGATTTGTAAGTATTAATTTGAATGCCTATATTCTAGTATATGTGTGTATGTGTGTGTGTGTACATACACACATATACATATATATATACACACACACACATGTATATACGCATATATATATATAATTATCATTGGAGAATTTTACAGAGTAAAAGGCAAATATAAAATTATATAGTGTAACATTAGGAAAAGAAAAAAATATAAGAAACAATGCAGATAGAAAAAAGGGAAATATATAAAGAAGTGACTTCTGATCTTCTTTACAACAGTTACAAACTTATTATCTCTCCTCCCTCTTTAAAATTACATGGTTCCCTTCTAGCCATATTCATCTCTTTTTAATCAACAAATCCATAAATGATAAATTCATTTTTCCAGCCTTTTATAAAAGTACTTATTGTCTTACTTGTGATCAAACAGATTATTTTTTTCCATGTCTACATGTTCCACCATCTTCACAACCTACTCCTCCATTGTGGATATTTCAGTATTTTTCCAACTTTGTGCATATAATAGTCTTGCAATAGTTACCATATATAAAATCAGTCTTCCTTTCCTGTCTCATGCAAAGAAGATTGCTGGATTTCACTTGAAACAGGCAATCTTCTTTGCATGAGACAGGAAAGTAAAAGGATAATAGATTTCCCCATTCTACGGAGCTCCCAGCCTCGTGGCTAGGATTTATGGAGAGACAATAAAACTGGCATGTACACAGGATATCTTGTAATAAAAACACAAGACCCTCCCAGTGACCAGTTAGAACACAGATATAACCAGGTAACAATTAAACTACATTTCCCAGAAGGCCATCCTTAAGGGGTCAGCACTCTAACCCTTAAAATGCTACTTGCTCTACACACAGTTCTTAATTTCTAAGCTAGTCATACACTCTGACCAGATGGCTACATACTGGACCAGCACACTTCCATAGGTCTTTTCTAAGTTGTTACCCATTAGTCCCAATTTAAAAAGTTCTGGTTTCATCTGAATATTGGTTTTTAAAATTCTTTGTATCATCATATGTATTTGTATCCAATTATTTTTGGTTTTTGCAAGTCCATCATGCATGGTAACTATCCGTTCATGTTTTCCACACTTCCAGTATTGATTATAAGTATCTTTATACATCTTAGATAATTTTTCTGCTGTCATACACATTTTATAAATGTTCTCGCTTAAATTGTAATATAATGTGAATTTCAATCCTTCTAGCCACATTCCCTTCCATTGGTCCATGTGATATAACCCAAATTCCTAACCCATTTTATCACATACTTAATGCTTTTAATTATCACATGTTAAATTTAAACAATTCTTAGTCCCATGAAGGGATCCATTATTTATTAAATTAATCCTAATAAACTAATATGAAATTCAGCTCTTCCTTTAATCTGTTTTAAACTTTCTTAGTTCAAGTTCTGCTGGCTCATAGTCAAGTGATCGTCCACTAGGAGTCCAAGGTCCCTCTCACAGTTACTGTTTTTGAGCCAGGTCTCACCTAATGTGTACTTGTACCTTTGATTTTTCCTGCCTAAATGTAAAACTTTGCTTTTCTCCACATTAAAGTTCATTTTGTTAGACAGGGCCCATTCTTCAAGTTTGTCAAGGTCTTTTTGGATCCTGAACTTGTCTTCTGTGGTATTGGCTATTCCTGCCAGTTTAGTGTCATCTGCAAATTTGATGGGTTTCCTCACAAGGAACTGCCCTCTGAAGCACAAGCTGGTAATCTCCTGGCTTCTCCTTGTCCAAGAAGCTCTGCTGGCCAGGGTTTGTCTCCTGGTCACCAGTCTCCACCACCACAGTGTCTTTGCTATTTGTTGTGTGTTAGTCCTCCATTTTTTTCCATCCAGAAGTCCCCCATATGCTATTATTTCTTACAACTTAAAAACATATATAAAATATTTTCCCCTAGTGTTTTTCAATTCAAGAAAGTTTTTGAATTTCACAAAAAGAGTACAAGGATCAGTTGATTTTACATAATTCTACTTTATAATCTGTAGAAATCTGCAGTTTTCAAAATTTGTGATAACTGTTTTATGAGTGAGGAAGCCCTATTTCTCCTTTTTCTTTTTTTCTGCAGTGATTAAAATTTATTTATTTTATTTGTTTGTTTGTTTGTTTGTTTATTTGTTAAATTTATTTGCCACCTATCTCACTGTGGGGCTACTCTAGTCAGCTTTTATAAGGCATTCATAAGGCATATTTATAAGACAGCCCTACTCAAACGGTGTTGTTCTAGGCTGCAGTTGTTTCTTCATTTAAAGCAAACTGCTGCAAATACTGTATAAGATTTCCATTGCTGTAGCAATGTTGTTTATAAATATGTTTTAAAAATTAAAGGCAGTTTTACTGTATATATTCACAACCAGTTTTCTTATATTAAAATTCAAATAGGGTTAGACTTTCAATTATTTATGCAATAGCTTTCTTTCTTTGGTCAACACATCTTCCTTTTTGGAAATATTCAAATAACTCAATCTAGAAACATTTTCTCATGTATTCCACATGAGAGCACATAACATTTTAAAATTCCATTTGAATTTTTCTCAATGTATTTTGAAATTTAATGAAATAGAAAGGAAGATAAACATGATTAAATACATACATTAAAATATTTGATATATAACACAATTTATTAAAGTTGTTATATAAATATTTAATATTTAAATGCTATTCAATATTTAGAACACAAAAATCTGTTGCAAAATGGTTGTGGCCTGGAAGGTTTTTTTAAACCAATCTTAAATTGCCATGAGCATGGGAGAGAAGTGTCTTGAAAGTGCATTGCCAGGTGTGTGCTTTTAGTATGCGATTGCATTAAAAGTTAAGTCCAAGTCTGTTTTTATCCAAAGAGTATTTGTATTTTGTATTTGTATTTAATTTTATTTATATGCCGCCCAATCCCAAAGGACTCAGAGTGTTGAACAAGCCATCAGTACTACTAAATCACAATTGCTGGCCCACAAAGGTTCAGCATTTATGTGTGCACCAGGCCATAATATTGCACTGCATAAATTACAGCATGGTGCTGCAGCTATATCCTTTCACCAGGAAATGGCCTAGATGTCTGCTATCCAACACTCTTCTGCCCCTGGAAAGGCTTACTCCCTTCCCTTGTCACTGTTGAAATGGAGCCCTGCACAGTGATGGGCAGTCATGCTGAAAAAAACCATCTCCCAGAGGAAACCTGCTGCATTGTCTCTTGCCTCTGCCTCTTAGCTTCTTGTTGCTTGCATCAGGAGACAATCCTCCCACTGATACTGATTCTGTTCCTACCATGATATCTTCAGCTTCCAGCTGTTATTGCTCAGTTCAAAATCCCCCCAGCGATATTTTTTCCATATATCCTCCAAGCCACAGGAAATTGAAAATTGTGTTTGAGGGCAACTTTAAACTGAAAACTGACTGGTCTGCCCCTATAACTTGGCTGCAAGTGAGTAGTTGACCATTAGGTAGAAATGAAGTCATAATCTCAAACTTTTTGAGTTCACAATATGAATGAAAGTATAAGTAAGCTTTATTTATTTATTTTGCTTCTACAGCTGATCACATACTGGGAAAAGACATTCAAGATTGACCTGTTCAAGCCACAAATTGGTGTGGTAAATGTCACCGATGTGAGTATCAGCTGGCTCATAGTTTCAATGGCCTTAACATCAAGGCTACTGGATCTGGTTTTGTGCTTACTTGCATATCTTGTCTGTTCTCTAAGCATCCCACTGTCTTACAGAAGTGTGAATACAGCTCTGCATAAATGATGGACATAATTAAGATGATATAATAATAAGTTCAACTGCTCCATTATGGGGTAGAGCAGAACAATTGTCACAGCCTTGTTACTTTGTCTTGCATGGTATACACATAAATTGTCATAAGAACTTACTGTGTCTTGTTAATTTTAATAGCATAAGATTCATTATAATGAACTACAGATATTCCTGTTTTGTCTGCTCTACAAACTGAAGACAGTTTATAGGGAAGGCCTTTCCTTCTTTCTTCCTAACCTACACAAGGAAAATTTTGGCTGCTTTTTTGCAAGCCAACTCCCCAGGCCTGATATACTGTATATTTGCAGCCAGTACTGTGTGGTGTTTTGAAAGGGTTTTGTTTTTTTTATGTATTTCTGCAGGGTGAGGGATGCAGTATTCACATTGAATTTACTTTGGAAGGATAGCCCTGGAGATTAACAGTTGTTTATAAAATTCAAGTAATAACTATATACCAACTGAACAATGCTTAAACAAAGAAAGTCAACACTGATTTGAAGATGTGTGCCCATATGAGCACGCATGCACACAAAACCTGCTAATAGTTTCATAGTTGAAACTGTGGTGGAATCTTTTCATTAAAAGATTGAGTTTTCATCATATTTTTCTGACAGTTGGCATTCATAGATTGAGCCACCTAGAGGTGAAGACACTCATCTCCCACTCAGTGACAGATGTTTCTCTTTGTTAGGATGCAAAGAGAAAATATCTGCTGCGAACTCTGAGTAGACATCAGGAAGGACATCTGGCCAGTAAACACTCAGCTCCATTCAGTCACTCAACCCCACCCCGAAGCAAGGCATTACAGGGTTGTAAAGAGTTGGTGTTCATAGATTCACTTTGTTGGTCTTCTGCCTGTCTGCTCTATGAAGAGGCTTTTACAGTCCTTGCATTATAGATGAGCCTATTTTTTTTTCTTCTTGGGCTACTGGGTCTTTTGGTTTGCTTAAGATATTTTGGCGGACTTTTGTTCATGTACTACAGAGATGCTGTGTGGTTGTAGTACCCTGTTCATTATATATAAGATGGTACTTTAGTAGCAGAACACTTAGTTGATGTAGGTTGTTCTATGATAGGCTTGGCTTTCTAGTGTGCTGTCATTTCCTCCGCTGATGAGGATATCCAGGAAGAGGTCTGCTAGTTTTTTACTCTTTTCTTGTGAATTTTATTTCATTTATTATTTTATTTATTTAATTTACATAGCTTCCCATTGTGCATTAATGACTCTAGGCAGCTCACAATTAAAACCTAAACTATACCAAAACCCCCAAAACAAACCTCAAAACAAAACAAAACAGCCATACAGACAATACAAATGTTAAAAATGATTAAACATCATACAGTACAATCACTGAGAGTGCATAGCCATTCAAGAATGGTACTCTCTGATCCCCAAGCCAGATGGCAATACCAGGCCTTCAGACCCTTTCAGAAGGCCAGCAAAGTTGGAGCCAGCCTGACCTTGGTGGGGGGGTTCTATGGGGAAGGAGGGGAAACAGCAGCAGAAAAATGGACCCACCATTCTGCTGGAACTGATGGGTGGGTAGAGGTCAATGGGGAGAGGTCATTCCTCAAATAACTTGGCCCCTTATAGGGCTTTATAGGTTATCACCAGTGTCTTGAATTAGACCGGGAACAAATTTATAATCAATTGAGAAACTTCTGTTGGTTCCAAATGCTGCAGCGTGAGAAGTTATAGGCATAGCTCATTATCTATGTAATTCTGCAAGCTGCATTGGCTACCAGTCAGGCTTCCATATGCAATTGAAGGTGCTGATTCTCCCCTTTAAAGTCTTATGTGGCATAGGATGGAGTTATTTGAGGGATTGCTTATAAGGGAGAGGGAGGAGGGAGAGGGAGAGAGAGAGAGAGATCTGAGACAGCTCTCCTCATAGGTTTTTCAGAAAAAAGTTATGTGTTTTAATACAGGGCTTTTCAACCAGTGGTACGCATACCACCTGTGGTACATTGGCACGTGGCAGGTGGTACATGGCCTTGCCCAGCCCAGCCAACTGTTAGAGGGGAGAGGGAATGAGCCAAAGTGGTGCAGCGCAGGACTTGCCCTGAGAGAGTCTTCAGGAGCTTCAGGGCTGCTGGGGTAAGGCAAAGGCCCTAGGATCGGCACTTCCAGAAGAGAAAGGAGGAGGAGGGGGCGGAGAAAGGAAGAGATATAAAAGGAGGTAGTTTGGGCAGGAGAGGGAGAGAAAAAAAGATGCAGCCTTGGAAGGAGGAGGAAGAGTCAGCTGGAGCTGCACCAAAGAGAAAAGGAGGAGGAGGAGGAGGGGCAAGAGAGGAGAGAACAAAAAACAGGCCAGGTGTGCACACAGGTGACAGCAACAAACAGGTAAGAAACACAGCTGGTGGCTGTGCTGCCAGTGGCCATGGCTTGAAAGGTCACTGTAAATTGCTGGACAAGAGCCGCACAGCGTTAAGAGTAGAGTGGTGGGAAGATATTTGTAATGCGGGAGGGAGAAAAACAGGCATCCCCTGAAGGAGATCAGCAAATGGCCCTCGCCCACTTCACACACCGTGGACTCTGGGTGAGGGGACACTGCGAGTGGCATGAGAGTTCACGTTACCTGCGCTATGCCACCCAGACCCCAGCCTGGTTTTGGTGGGAAGCGGTGCACTCTTACCGTGCAGAGTGGCTGAGCTGAGCGAGATGAGCCAGCAACATGTCGAACCTGCCTGGGCGCGTGCAAAGGCGGTGGCACTCTGTTCTTAACACTGTGCGGCTCTTGTCCAGCAATTTACAGTGGCCTTTCAAGCCATGGTCACCGGCAGCACAGCCACCAGCCTCAGCCTGTCCCCCTCCCCTTGTCCCTTCCTGGGCATGGAGGGAGGGAGGGAGGGAGGGAGGGAGAAAAGAAGGAGGGAGGGAGGGAGGGAGGGAGGGAGGGACAATGGGAGGGAGGGAAGGAAGGGACAATGGGAGGGAAGGAAGGAAGGAAGGAAGGAAGGAAGGAAGGAAGGAAGGAAGGAAGGAAGGAAGGAAGGAAGGAAGGAAGGGACAATGGCAGGGAGGGAAGGAAGGAAGGGACAATGGAAGGAAAGGAAGGAAGGAAGGGACAATGAGAGTGTCAAGATTCAGATATATTTCCTTTCTATCTATTTCCTCTGATCTAAAACCAATTCTTACCCTTTCCTGGGTCCTGCCATACTCCCAAGGGGGAGGGGTTTTTATTATTTTCACTTCCTCTATTCACTACAAAGTAACCTTTTGTTTATTCGCCTCTGCTAACCATTACAATGTAACCATTTGCCTTTTATTCTATGCACCTCTGAACTTTTCCTCCTTATCAGGCAACTAGGAAAGGGTTTTTTTTTAAAAAAAAAGATACAGCTTCCGGAATCTGGTTTATTTATCCATCAAGTGAGGAACTATTGCATGATCATGTACAACAGATCTGGATTGATGTTATCTTTCCTAGATTTAATACCTAGAAATCACCTGGAAGAACTGTGGGATGGGGGTTGCTTAGGGACACTTTAAAACATCGATTTGTGAGGGAATCCCTCAGGTCCTGTCTATCATGCCTACTATCAATTTCTCTTAATAAAAGTTCCTGTTGGAAGAAATGGTTTCCAAGAGTTCTGCTTTCTTAAGATGTGGATTGAAGTGGTTCCTTACATTAGACAGGATCTGCAGTAATAGTCAACCTGGAAGGGAGAACCTTGCCAGGGGACTTTGCAAAAAATACAATGTCAGACAACAAGGCAGGGAAGGGAGAAACCCCATGGAGAGGGAGCCTTTCCCCCGACCAAAAACCTGCCAACGGTCGGGATCTGAATGTCATACTCTTCAGGAGAAGAGATGGTGGAGACACATAACCACAAACCTCGATGGTCAATGGGCATTGGAAAGAAAGGTGAGTGGGAAAAGAGATCGAGAAAGGTGACCCTGAGACGGGGGCCCCACCAACCAGAATGGAAGCAGGAGATGAAGAAATCCCTCCATGTTAGCGAAGAGGAAGGAAGTTGGGCACAGCACTCAAACTGGATCCTAGAGAAAGCTATTAACCTGATGAAAAGAATCCTCGGCTCTCTAGGGGAGGAGAATTCTGAGCACCGCGGCCACACCAGCACCTTGAGCTGCAGCTGGAAAGACACTGAGGGGGAATTGGAATCTGTAGTCCCAGGGACGTTTGCTGATCCACTACTGATCATTTCAGCAACCCCCACTCCTCGCCGACCCACAGATGGCGATCCGGGTGGAAGACAATACTACCAATGGCGAAGGCACCGATCCATTCAAAGACTCCTGCCGCTGGACGCAAAATTCAAGGGGGAACCGACACACTTGGGGTTTTTCCTAACCCAAGTCCTCAGCTACATGGAGGAATACGGGCAGCATATCGCTAGCAACAAAGCCCGCATCCGTATTGTGCAATCTGCTCTGGACAGACCGGCCTCAGATTGGGTGGTGAATTTGCACGATTCTAATGTCCCAGAACTCAACGATTTCAACCGTTTCATGTCCTCTCTGAGGAGGCTATTTGAGGACCCCCTGGCAAAGCCCGTGAAAGAAAAAAAATGGTGAGATAAGGCAGACACCTGGTAGCCGAATATATGCAAGAATTCTGGGCCATTGCCAGCAAGCTGAACTGACTGGAAGACATCCTCCTTAGCCATTTCAAAGACAGCCTAAATTACGACCTGTATGATGCTTGCCTGCCCCAGGGGACCCACACCAACTCAACAAATGGTACGCCATGGCAGAGGAAGCAGAGATCGACCTATTGAAGAGGCACCACTGAGGAAACCATTGGGCCACTCGCCGCCTGAGCCGACGCATGAGCCAGCGAAGCCACCGGCTACGGCCAAGAAGCCAATGGGCTGTTTCAAATGCA